TTACCCGTGTTCAGTGTTCTTGTGGGAATATGTGGAGTGGGGGAGGAGGGGGGTGGGCTATCAAGGCCTTTTTTAAGCCTACCGAAGTGGAAAAGTTAGTGGTGTGTGTGGTAGTATAAATTGCATTGGTAACTCCTCTCTCTCCCCCCTTCCCTTTTGACTCAATTTTATATCACTTCCCCTTGCTGGTCCACATTTCGGCCGCTTGAAATGATCAACAAGTCTGGAATTTTCTATTTATTTATATCAAATGGCAGGCGTTTTGATGGTTATCATTAGCCCTTTAGTTGACTTCAGGCTTCACAGAGGGGAAGGAACATCAAAGTGAATAAAAGTCGAGGGGGGGGGGGGGGAACAGAAGGGTGTTTCAAAGACGAAAGTAGAAAGGGTAGAAAAAAGGTGATGTGAGTACTGTGAAACAGTCGAATATGACATACAGTGGGGTGATGGTAGTTTGAAGTGAGAAGTCAACTGCCGGTTAATAGACTTTTTTGCCGTATGAGTATACATTGCCCAGGGTGCACCACGTGGAGGTAAGTCTATCGCACACCCCAGGCGGGAATTTTAATAACCATTTCCTGAAATTTGTACTGGGGATTTACTCACAGGGTAAGCGAGTTCAACATTTAATTATAAGGGGGTCACCTGGGTTAGGAGATGCGGTCAGATTGATATTCGGTTGAACTCTGCTTCATTCGAGCTTTAATATTTAGAGGCAGTCTGCTTAGTATGCCGTTGTCAAGATTGGACTTTATAATAAGTTGCGTGTCACTAGGTAACTTGTCTTCAACAATTGCAAAGCTCAATGAGGGATTTATTTGATCAGATCTCATCCTCCTCATCATCATATATACAGCGAATATGACTTTATTCACCCGAACATCTGGCAATCCCCTAACCGGACCGATTCGATCAATAAAATTTGTATTAGTACCATTAGCTAGAGTCATATAAAGCACGAACATAAAATTATGGACCAGCATCCAGTCATTGGAAAAATACAAACATATTATGGCATGTGTTTCACCCACCTTTAGACCGTTACATTCTTTTTCGCATAGCCTCTAGTTTTTGAGTCTGAACCCTTTAAGAAACGTCTTTCCCTTCCAATCCATTTACCTTCAAGTCCTTTTTATGGTGACCGAATGAACTTGTCACGAGGTTTTGCTATGATAGTGCTCAACTCAACGATTTATCTGTCGGTGTGGAAAATGGCCAATCACATTGGCTAACTTTGGTCAACAAAAAAACGCTAAAATTATGAGTTTCCCTTTAAGGCAGCTCAGGATGTCTCCCATCTATCCAGATCAGTTTTTGGTGAAGTTTTATCACCAGGTTAATGGTGGTCACCTTATCTGTATTCTAATCTTATTTCTACCACTGTTAGGCCATTGTCTGAACTAACAAATTGAATGGGAAAGATGCCGGGGGGGGGGCGCGAGAATTTTATCAGGATGCTATCGTCAATTCACTCGTGTTCGAAGTTTTGTGGGAACTTGGCCGCCAGGGCTGAATATCACAGTTGTTTTTCGGTGTCATGACTATGTGTGTCTGAGGTATCCCTTAGTCATAGTAGACAATACCCTCACACAGGGACCTCAAAATTCCCATTTGTCATTTGCAAGCTATGAGCGTACTTTTTTTACTACTTCCTTGTGCTGCCGAGACTTAAATCCTGAAATTTGGCCCGATTCCAAAGGCCTAGTTACTTTATTGCCTGCAAATTGAATGCGGTGGAATTTGAAGTTAGCAAATATTCACAAGTAGTTAATTGCAGGTTTCAATCAACAAAAACCCATCTTATATCAATGGAGTCGTCCCAGGGCATATGTCATGGAATGCAGTTTCTTATAAGAGGACTTAATTTGTTAATCTAGTAAATTAATCCCTTCTTGACTGAATTATTAAGCCAGTTATGAGAGGAACCATTTCTGGTAAAGATATTAGATGTATTATAAAATATATTGCTTCGATTATTTTGGCCAAATGGGCGGCGCTATTTCTCATTCACGAATAATACCTTCGGGTTCTTTTTCCTTTATTAATTGGATAGAGACTCTTTTACTAACCCCCCCCCCTCCCCCTATTTTTTTGAGTTTCCGTTTGTGACCCACTCCCATTTTGCCTCTAATTGTTCCATCCCACCTTAGCGCAGAGTTTGGGCGGCCTATCAGGAATTGGGGTGGGGGTGGGGGAATTTCTTTCTTCCCATATATTTAGTTTTTTATCAAATTGCCTATTGTTATATCAGTGGAATATCATCACATTTTTTGTCCTAATAGTAATTTAATGGCGTTTTAATATGGCATTTCCAATGCAAGGTAATGTGGCGCTATGTCCTTCAGAAATATCATTCTTACCTATTATATCCTTGTAGTCAGTTTTAAATTTCAAGCCACACTGCTTTGATTTTCTGGTGGGATTTGTTGTTGGCTTACTGCAATCGCCTCTACACATCAATGCTTGGAGTCACGAAATACGCCATATGGTGGTGGGGGGGGGGGGGGGGGGGGGGGAGGGGTGCACTTTGGAGCCTCCTTTCATTCACCAATTTCGTAACAAATCACCCCCTGACTACAATGGACAATTACGTTCATTTCGTGCTTTTGAACAATTAATCACTGCTTACTTGGGATTTAAATCCTTCTAATTCTAGAATTCCTACGTGGATCGGGGTTTGACTGAAGAATACCGAACTTCCTTTGGTGAAGCTCCTGCAGACGACGAAGACTGCTACCATGTAAGTAAAAGTTTTTACTATTTAACTTGGCGAGAGGAATACTGTCGTGTAGTCTGTATAATCTATTTAGTTGGTATAACTTGAACGGACGTCCCAATTGTACTTATTTTTACAGTTTTTCCAAATGTAGAAATTTCCAGCTTCTTCCTACAATGATTTATTTTATAAGCACCCTATCCTCACATTGACCCGAGATTGGCCATTTATCGCTCAAACATTTAGCACAATTTTGTCAAAGCCTGCTGCTAATCTCGAATGTGTGGAACACTATTTATCGATTAAGAATAACATTGGTTCATGAGTCACCAGTGGTTTCATCTTCAATCAGACTAGACCTACCTAATTTCTCTATGCGAGTTTTATATATATCTAAGGAATATGTGTTTTGCTCTCTTGTCCATGTGTATAATTTTATTGCGTATTTCTATTCTCATGCATTCATTTGCATTATTTTAGTCCTAGAATATCATTCATGTGTAAGCATTTCGCTTACAGCACATATATAACCGCGATTTTTTCCTTTCGTTGGGTTTTTCAAAGCTGTACGTCTTGGATATCTTCCATTTCAGTGGTCATCAAGATCTTCTTCATGGCCTGCCTCGCATGTTTTAAGTTCGGAATTATTTAATTTTACTCATACAATGTTCAGTTAAAAATGCCTATTTCATGGAAGTAAAGGGAAGATTAAATTGTTAAAACAGTGAATATGAAGTTGCTGTGGTATGATCATATTAAGTAATTGAGATATGGCCTTAGCTGCAAGATTATTTACGTTTTTAGGCTCTAACGACTGGTTCGCCGGGGGGTTAGTCAAGCAGAGTAGTGTTGCGGGGGGACGGGGGTTTTGGGTGGGTTGGGGGTTAACATTCTATAAACTGAAGCGACTTTACACGCTTGCGTTTTTAGATATTACCGCAGCCTGATCACCCTTACGTTAATCTCAAGGCAAATGGCTCCGCCACTGCCGATATCAGCGCAGTCGCGGACGAAACACCTATCCTTAATGGGCAAGGTAAGCAATGCCGTTGTTGCTAATGCGTACGCCTGGTTGGTTACTATTTTTCACTTTATGCTTGTGTTGAAGCCTTAGGCTATGGAAAAGGACGATGATAATGTTCAGTGGCTAATTTTACGTGTAGGGCATAACTATCATATCAAGTTTATCATATGATTTGAAAGGCTCAGAACGTGGCAGAGGTGATTGACTAGTAGCCTCATTGTGTTTGTTCTAGGAAAATTAGAATAGATGAGAAACTTTCAATTGACATATCCACCGTTTCCTGTCTGTTGAGACCCACTTTTAGACAATTAGAGTTTAAAATAGGTATAAATGCGGCACGAAAAATTTTCACATCTGAATGGTGGAAGTGAATTTGGTTCAGTATCCAAGATTGGCAGATAGGAATTTATCGATTTCTTTTACAATCTACACATCTTTAATACGTTTGAGTATATAGACGTGAAAATGCGCTAATATGGTGCCCATTTAGGATAATAATCCATGTTAGGAGCTAAAGACAGCTCCGAAAATGACAGTCACGTGAGAAACCGTGTGAACACTGAGAAGTAGATGATGTTATGTCGCTGGTTTAGAATTTGTTCGTTAGATCCGGTTCCCCAACTTAGTTAATGTTTAGTAGCCAGTAAGGTCCCCAGGTAGGTTGTAGTGGAACAAAGGAAAAGTTGCAACACTTGAGACGTGAGCAAGCTTCCGCTTCGAGAGGTAGGCATCACATTCATGGCTTGTCTAATTATATTAGAATCACGCCGACAAACTATTGGTTTATTGGATTGATATCCAATGTCATATAATCAACTTGCTTCCATGGCTGATATTTTCCTGCCAGATTAAGTTTTCGTGTTTCTTATTTATAATTGCACAAGTGGCTATTCTGTTGGAATGCCATAGGCACAAATTGATCGCATATCAAAGTAGGGTCATGTATGTGAGTAGTGAATATGACCAACAAACCAAGTTTAAAAAAAGGATGGGTTTACGAAATAAGTCAATTGAATTAGTCCCCATAATTGTTTAGATTGAAGAATTAACACGGACGTATTTGCATAGGGAAAGTGACTTGATGAACGCAATCATAAAATTTGGTGGTTTGTGCTCCTTGTGCCAATCTCCTATTGGATGCATTTATGACATCTATTTTAGCATTCATCTAGGCCTGACAGTTTATTGTTTATAATTATTTTTAAAGGATCGATTACAATTTCACCGAATTTTAGTTTTCGAGCACTCGGAGTACATTGGTTGTCACTTGGAATTAATGTTCTTTGCATTTTAGATCGGCCCGATAGCGTTTATTTCAACGTCTGGGACTCCTCAACAGTCGATTATAAAGGTAAATTCGAATCTACTCATTTCACTACGCACACACACGGTGTTACTGGTAAAGTTATGAGTAGTGAGGACGCTTTTGTTTTGCTTCTAGGTGCTGAGAGTAAAGTTGAATATCACAACGCCCCTGTTTTAGCAAAATCGGACAAAATTTTGCCAGAGGTCTCAAATTCAAAACCATCTCTTAAAAGTTCCACCACCACCACTACTTCAGATGCGGGTGCTAAAGAACCACCTGTTGATAATGAGTTTGCGATAGTTGATTTAATTCTTAGTCGATTTTATTGGTGCATGTATAAATTGATGGGCTCCGTGGGTTTGTAGGATACAGCTGCCGAAGCGTTGCCGGAACACGAGCTCGTCATCTTCTTCAAGTGATGAAAGCACTGAAGATGAAGGAGTTACCCTTGAATCGTCGGTTGACGAGTGTACGAAAGAGGCTAACGCTTCTATACCCCTCGACGGAGCTGGTGAAGCTGAAGTCACTGACTCTTCGCCGAGTGATGTCATTTTACCATCTTCAGGCATTATTGAAGAGGCATCTAACACCAAGGTATGCTATTTTTAGATTCCTCTGTTTTCTTCAGCGTTAACGCTCATGTAAGCAGTTAGAATGATTGCCCACTTCAATTAATAGGGGGCATAGGGAAGCACCATAAATAGAATCTATCGATTAGAGAAATTTCAAACTATCTTCTCCCTTCCACGATAAGTACGCTTTACGTACATGGATTATGGTTTTTTGCTATTATAAAATGTTAAGACTGCTTCGGCACTTTTATTTTAGATGCCTAGTAGAAATGAAGGGGCATAATGTGTCGATAATATGTGCCAAAGATGAGAATCTGGGCCAAGAAGCACAGAGTACAAATAGTAAAAGATAGCAGCTATCTTGTCCACTACCATGAAATCTCCACCAGGAACGATAGCGACTGATGGCTATATCGCCCGATTTGGCGAATGGCCACTCTGAGCTTCCTTTTTGGCACACACACACGCACTGTGCAGGCTTATACAGTTGGTCTAGCAAGTTGTGGGCCTACATTTTTGTGAGAGGATGTGGAGGTTTATAGGTTATTCCGATACGCGGATTGGACTCGTCCACTTTGAGTTCTATGGATTGTCTGTGTCGTATATTACTTTTAAATTCGCATTGGCTCCCTGACGGTTAGAGAAGTGTGAGTGTACGTGTGTGGAGACCTTTAATGTTTAGGATGCTCTGTTTATCACGTAATATGCTGAATCGTAATTCGGGTTGGATGCTTGTTTATTTAAATGGTAAACTAGTTGTACGCACAGACGCCTACGTTTTTTCCGGCAATCTTTGTTGATTGGGGTACCTATTCGATTGATAGAAATCATCGAAATAACATCCATTTAAGTCAATTTCTCTTATTCTTTCTCGCATTGGATTCTTATAAGTTGTATTTTGCCATGAAATTCGACGTTCATGTTGTGTTACTAACGTAAACAAATCTCTCTTGGTGAGAGGTCATTCATTCGAAGTGGATCTTATTAAATAATTTTGTAAATCTTAATTACTTGCGTTATTTGATAATCATTTTACATTTTAAATCTCTCGTTTTGTATCCTGAGATGATTGGTGGCGTACCGCAATGCCATTAGTTTAATGTGGATAATTTGATGAGAGCTCAGGTTCTCGTGAGTTTTCGTGTCAGTCGAATAGGAGACTTGATGTGAATAAGTTAGGCTTCTAGTGTTTTCAGCGTGTAAGTGGATGGATTCACTTGAAACAAGTGGGGTGGAGGAGTAAACCTGTGAATCAGCGTATGTATACTACTATATTTTCCATCATGATATAGCAGTGTTCGATATAGAATACGTTCAATTTTAATGTTTATTGTACTATTTTGTGTACTATTAGCCAAAGAGCAAACCCGATACTACTACCGAACCGGGAATCCAGTACCTGGACGCGGAGAACTTGGACTTTTCACTTCGGCAGCGCCCTGCTAATGGCGCGCCTCTAGTACCTCCTAAACCAATCCATTTGCGTCGAAATGCTCCAAAAGAGGCGAATTCAGAAGGAGCATCGACGAACACAGCGACTAAACCGTCAACTTCTATCAATGAAGACCCTAACCCTAACGGCTACTCTGAACTCGATGTTCGAAGAACAAATGCCCTTTTCGTAGTTACTAAAAAGATGTTTGGCGAAGACGATGACACTGCTTAATTTGAAAAAAAGGAAAGAGCAAAAAATATGTGTAAATAGTTGTTGCCTTTTAAATCTTTACGTGCCTTTAGCGATGATTTTTCTCTCTGTCCCCTCCTCCTCCTCCTAATGACACAATCGCAATCAATTATGCATCTTTACTTTTCATTCCCCTTTTATTTTTGCTATTTTTCCCCTCCCGATGAAATACAATGCCAATTTATGCGAATTAATCCGAAGACGATATCATCCCACCGCCTTGCCTACCTTCTCTCATCAATACATCATTTCTATTAAATGGTTGGGGAATAATTATGATGATATTGGTCCTTAGATGATTGTCAATCCACTCTCTCTCCCTCTCTTTCTCTCTCTCTCTCTCTCTTATCCACAGAACATTTGCTTGAAATCTCTCTGTGTGTGCATTTGTGACTAATTTTTAATTTAATAAATTTATAATGGACTTTTTACGTATGCCTTGATCAATTGTTAGAAGAGTATCGCTACCTTATGAAACTACCTCCAATTGGAGGGGGGGGGGGGGGGGGGGGGGGGGGGGGGGGNGGGGGGTGGGTGGGGAGGGAGGGAGGGAGGGAGGGAGAAAGCTTATAGAGCAAAGGTCGTTTTTAATAGGAAAAAATAGCTTATATGGACCTTGGAAAGTGATAAACGATTTGCTGCATAATTAGCCAATAATCGCGGTGATAGGTGCTTCATTATTGGACTTGAGTATTCAATAATCGATCGAGCGCAACGAGACTATGCAGTTTGGCTTCATAGGGAAGATAGCGTGCTTTGCGCTATTTGGGCTCACCTATAGCTGTGAAGAAGTATTGCTTTGGGGTTTAAGATTCTCCCTTTTCTTGGCCTGAAAGAAAGTTCATTGCATTTTCAAAAAGGATTTTGTAAAAAAGAGACTCCCATTGGATTTGATATCAACATTGACTTCGTTGTTGAAATGTAGTGTGTCAAATACCCGTGACTTTCATAAGACTTTAAACATCTAGAAACTAGGCCTGGGAAGGTCTCTCTTTTGTTAGCAACGCCTTATTAAAAATATTTCGCGATTACCCCAAATATTTACCAGTTGTTACTTGCCAGCTATTTTTGTGACTGGCTGAATTTGTTTCAATAAACACGGAAGACCTAGCTAGTGCTTAATCTTCTTAGAGAGAAAGTACAAAGGGAAATGAACTTAAATTTCTACGTTTTAAGCAAACAATGAGGACCAAAACAGGTACGTATCCAAATACCAGAATTTTAAAAATGGCTTAGAAGTTGGAGATTACTCAACTAAATTAATTACCAGACAAAGAACCAACTAAAGCAGCAACACGGATTTGTAACCTTACAGAAAATATGAAAAGAACCAATAGGTGTTTGGGATAAATTTGACAACCCCATCAGAAAGGAGGGGTTGGTAAATACAGCCCTTTAATAGATTTTCGACAAAAATTAAATAGTCAGGGAAAGTACGTCATTTTCGTTACGCGTCCATATAACCTCAGTGCGACCACGAGGCAAGCTGATTTTACACTTCCCTCAAGAGGGGTGTGCGATAGACTTACTTCCACGTGGTGCACCCTGGGCAACGTATACTCGTACGGCAACAAAAGTCGATTAACCGGCAGTTGACTTCAAACTACCATGACAAAAGTCGATTAACCGGCAGTTGACTTCGGACTTCAAACTACCATGACCCCACTTTTTATCGTATTCCACCACCTCACCTTTTTCTCTCCCTTTGTGACTGTCTGTCTCTTTTCCATCTGTGAATCATTCTTCTGTTTCCCCCTCTCGACTTTTCCCACTTTGATGTTCTTCCTCTCTGTGAAGTCCGAAGTCAAATAAAGACCTAATGATAACTACCAAAATGCCTGCCAATTGATATAAATAAAAATACCCTCATGATGGATCTCATAAAGCTCCCTTGATTCGGTTCATTAAGTAGTTGGCTTTTGTGGTGCTGTCACAGCGATTAGAGTCTTTCTCGACAGCGCCCCACACATAATTGTCCATCGGATTAAGATCCGAGGGGGGGGGGGGAGGATTTCAGAAGTTAAACCTACATTGGATTTGGTGTAGTTGTTAAACTTGTTTGACATAAATATGGCTTTGTACTAACATACTTGAAAATAGCATCATAAAATTATTTTCTTAAGCTAATCCCTAACGATTTGTGGGTAAGACGGGTTTGACTGAAAGGACATAAAGTCTCTAAGGTGTATGAATAATGGAACTAAGAAACATGGCGAATTAAGAATAAAGAGGTGAGGGGAAGCGTCCACTTTTACTTATGTCCGCATTTTTCCGACTCAACTGAGGAGTAATGGCCAATAACCATACTGACTATCCAAGTTTTGAGTTTTCCATTCTGAGCGTTGACGTGGCCGCCGTCTTATCGATGTGCTTGAGGACAAACAACGATTTACTTTCCGATGGAATATCTGCAATCATAACTCAAACACTCCAGAATCAAGAGTTCGAATTAAGGTTAACAGCCTTCATTCATCAAGTTGCCCTCAAATTGTATGTCCAACCACTGACGTCCTACCTATTAGTCCCAAAAATCATCGGCCTGGGAAGGTATTTCATAGAGTATCTATTTTAAATTAATAAATGTTTCAGGATCAGACACACCTGTCTATACTCCAAATCTGGATTAACGGTAGCCTAGAAATATCTTGTGCCCACCTAGATCAAACCTTTAGAGTGGATATCTATAACAGTCCATCTAAGACGCGGCTTCAATTATTAATTTGGAATTTTACGATTCAATTGTCACATGTTACGCTAGAGGTATTTAGTACTTCTAAATACATGTGGCCACTTATGGGGTTTTGAAAGGCGGAACCCACAATATTAAGCTGCTACTTTTCCTCACTCCAATGAATGGAGTGACAAAAACAAGACCATCATCACGTGACTCGAGACAAGTGTATTGATTGTAGGCGCTCGCAAGAAATTGAAGGTACACAAATCCGTCGGGTATAAAGTTTACCTGAAGCCATAAGTAAATGGAATTGAAAACGAGCCGTTATTTTATTATAAACACCCAGAGACAAAAGCCCTTTTTACGATATCGTGGAATAGATACGAAGAAGTAGTCTGGAAAAGTCAAAACCTTTTGGAGTATGTGCAAGAGCTTGACGCATGAGACAATATGGATTCAAGAGACTGACGCACACCCAACGAACAAGTATTCGACGTACGGCCGCGATTTAATAACTTGGATCTTAGTCACCGCAAAGTGCGATTGAGCTCCCGCGTTGAAAGGTTTAGGTTTTATAGGGGGGTGGTGGTGGGGGGGGGGAATGAGCGGTTCTGGTGGTGCAATCAGGAGGATTTCACTGCTTTTCCATTTTACTCTTGTGAGACAATACCTATAGCATAATATATTTATAGCAACCTTTAAGGTCAGAATCATTTTTTTAAATATGTACCCAGCAGCACTTACGTGTGTCACACAGCAGACTGATGCCGAAGTGATGAGTTTTGGTGGTATTCGACGGAAGGTTACAGACGTATTGAACGTATTTCAAGCTGCAGTATGAGTTACGAGTCTAGTACCAATGGAGCTTATTTTAAAAGAGAACCGTACGGTCAAAAGGGCGGTTAAGAATCGAACCCCCCCCCCCTACTACTATTGCAATTTCTCATGTAGATTCATTCTTATCCTGTTCTACCGAAGGTTGAGCATAGGTATTGGGTTGGCAACTAAGTCATTGCCGTTTTTGTTGACAGATTCACTCTATACTTTCTTTTGTTTTGTTAACGTGGCCAGAGCATCTAACCTATATTTTTTTCTTACTGTATGGGCTTCTAGGTTAATTAGTAACAAATTTTTTTGTTTAGTTCTTTAGTTTTGTTTTTATCCCAATTTAAAAATGAAAGAACAGGACGTGCACTTCCGACTCATTTTATTGTATTACTTCCGAAAAGGCAAGAACGCATCGCAAGCACAAAAGAAGTTATGTGCCGTATATGGAGATGAAGCCGTGAGGAAGAAAGGCAGTGTCGAAATTGGTTTGAAAGATTTCGTTCCGGTGATTTTTCACTGAAAAATTCACAACGATCTGGCCGCCCAGTCGAAGTGGATGAAACCCATATCAAGGCCATTATCGATTCAAATCGTCACAGCACAACACGAGATATTGCAGAGAAGTTCAATGTGTCGCATACATGCATTGAAAAAAAAAATTAAAAACCCTTGGTTATGTCAAGAAACCTGATTTATGGATCCCTCACCAGTTAAAGGAAATTCATTTGACGCAACGGATTAACATCTGTGATTCGCCGCTACTGAAACGCAATGAGAATGATCCATTTCTGAAGTGGATAGTTACTGGCGACGAAAAGTGGATAGTTTATAACAATGTTACTCGCAAGAGATCATGGGTGAAGCAAGATCAACCAGCCCAAATAGTATCAAAAGCAGAGGTTCACCAAAAAAGATTATGCTGTCAGTCTGGTGGGATCACAAAGGAATTTTGTACTTTGAACTCATGCCGCAGAACCAAACGATAAATTCAAATGTGTATGTTGAAGAACTCGAAAAACTGAAGGATGCAATTGAAGATAAGCGGCCGGCATTATCAAATCGGAAGGGTGTTGTTTTCCATCATGATAACGCAAGGCCCCACACATCTTTGGTTACTCGGCAAAAATTATTGCAACTGGGTTGGGATGTTTTGTCACACCCACCATATAGCCCTCACCTTGCGCCTCCGGATTACCATTTGTTTCGTTCCATGCAAAACTCTTTAAATGGTCAAATTTGTAACAACGCGGATGATGTCGGATCACACCTAATTCAGTTTTTTAATAGCAAAGACCAGACATTTTACGAACGGGGAATTTTTACTCTGCCAGAACGATGGGAAAAGGTCATCGACAAGAACGGCCAATATCTAATTGAATAAAGTTATATTTTTAAACAAAAATTCCGAATTTGCCTTCTTATTTGAAATCGGCAATGACTTAGTTGCCAACCTAATATTATATTAATAGCAAATATACTTTTGCTTAATAGAACCGATTCGTTGTACCTGAACAAATTCATCCAATCACGGGGTTTGTAGGATCTGGATTCTCAAACTTGCCACGTTGTTAGCTAGACGTCTAAATGCTTTTATCCACACTATCTACTGTCTGAGAAAATGCAGCCAGTTTGCTTTCCCTATAGGTAGCAGTGGTTGTAGTGGCAGACTAGTCTATAATTGCATCGACCCATTGTTGTATTAATCGTGTGTACACTAAAGGGATTTAAAGAGGCAAACTGTAAAGATAATATTTTATCAGTGGTAGTTTGTGGTTTTCAAAAAAATTAAGAGCGCAAGATAGTTGACGAAGGAGTTAGGCTGCGAGTAGATGCCTCACGACAATAAAACACTTTGCTGCACAACAACACGGCAGAGAGGACATTGATTAACCTTGACCGAGCACATATCGCAGCAGCAGACATGACCGCATGGAAGGAATATGATGGTGCACTACAAAAGAAGGAATGGGTATTTGAAAGTAACAATAAATATTGCATTAAAGTGAAAGAGGGGAGTATTTTGCAATAAAGGTAGCACGGGACATTGATAGTGCTAATAATGCCAACGCAATGGGTTCGAGAATAAAAGGAGTCTTGGTATACACTATAGAAACACCCAACTGCGTATGCTCTTAAAGGTGAAAATCGTCTTTAGTATCCAAGTTCATGGCGTTAAGAATGAGCGCCATTCACTTTTTGGGCGTAGTCCACTGTTTCATTTTATGATTTGGCCCTGGAAACTAAGTCTTGTTTACAAAGTTCACTGCGTATCATCTACCAGTTTATAAATTCGCATAGTTGGTTGACCGCTTTTGAGTCATTAGCGTTTCCAATGGCAGTTAGGATACATGACGGTAAGAGTAAAGATGATATTAGAGATTAAGAGTCCTTCCCCCCCCCCCATCAATGACATCATGCAATAGAAGATAGCGAGTAGTTTAAGGTTGACGAGCCAATGCTTCACAAGAAACGGAGGTGGGGGCAGTAGCCAGCACTTCCAGACTGCAAGTCGAAATAAAGCCCGATAGGCCAGATGGAATTTCGACCTACTCCACTTGCACACTGTGAATGAAATTTTTAAGATCAAGGGTAGAAAGAGCATAGCACTCTCTCTCTCAAAAAATTCCAAACCAACATGACGCCGATCATTACTTTGAATACAAAATAAAGAGCTCTCAAACTTTATCCCCCCCCCTTTATAAGAGCAATGCACTCTCGAATTCTGTAACAAGTAATTTTTATCAAATGGGTTAAACAATATGAGTAAGATAATGGCCATTGCTCTCATTTTAATTGATATTATCTTACGCTGTTGGTGACACAGTGATAAAACTCAAGATTGCAATACATCCGGTTAGAATGCTATCTTTTCCTTGAAGGGGCTCCAGGATACCCCAATAATACTCAAAATGAGTGGGAAAATTGGAAATGACACTAACACATGCATACAATCACGAATTCCAAAATGGTGGAGGCGACAATCGAAGCTATTTATAGAATGGATAACGAGAGTTGTACGTGCTCTTTTAGTGCAATTAAACCTCCGCTCAAACGCATGCCAGTGAATGAAGGAGAGGGGGAGAGAGAGAGAGAGAGTAATCGGCCACCATCGCACCATCATGAATGAAAGTTAATTGGTGTAGGTCTTTTAACTCAATTTAAAGCAATTTGATTCAAGTAACGGTTTTTCCCCCCAAATAGCTGGGTCATTCCGTTGGATTATTTAATGAATTTCTTGATAAACATGGCAATTTCCTCATGGAAATGACAGAGGTGGATGAAATAACTGAGAGTCCATTTATAGCACAATTATGTCTATTCGAACACTTCTTCAAGACCAAGTAATGAAATGAATGGCATGTTGAGATATGACATGGCGACATGACATATGTTAGCAAGTTAAATGTGGGAAAAAAACATTTTATTCCAATCGAAAATTAGATTTACATTTTACAAATAGGTTGCAGTGAAATACCGAAAAAATAAATTTTTCTCCACCCACGTCCAGCACAGTTATGGGAAGTACTCCCATTTCCCCAAAACTATGATTTAGCTAATAAAAAAACCCACGTTTCTTCACACGAAGGCAAAATGTCATAAGAAATTTTAATATGCTAATAAAGTAGTTTGGAGGTAAAGCACCGCATAAATCCATCAAATAAAAACATCAAAAGAAGTCCAAATGTCGATTGGGGGGGGGGGGGGGGGGGGGGGGGGGGTGGATATAAATCGATAGGAAGAATACATATGTTAACATTACTTGAGCATCCTGACAGATACAGCATTCAACCTCGAAATGAGCAACAACATGAACTGGAGGAGCGCTTGGCATGGTTTCAGCTTTCGGCGCCGAAGGTTTATTGATCAATTCGTCCTTAATTTCACCGGATCCCATCTCCTCCAACGCTGGCGCTTCCATTGGTGCTGAAGGTTCAACCATCCAGTCCTTTTGTTAGGAACAAAGGAGAAAGATTGCTATTAACAGGTTATTATTTACACCCCTCTCTCTATATATATTGTAAATAGTCATCATTTTGCTTAAGGTAATCTCGTGGTTCATCAGTACAATGCTTTGTACTACACTTGTCCTAAGTCAAGTATTGTCAACGCTTCCATTAGTGGAATTTATAAATTTCATCCTGACAATCGTTTCCTTCTATTCGACATGGTTGGAGGGGGAGGGAGAGGAGAACTAATTGGGGTACTAAGGCAAAAGATCTTCATGTCCGATACAAGCCCGTGAAGAAGAGGTTACCAAGGCAACCACCTCGGATGTGCACTTCCATATAATTATTCCAAACTTAAGGCTCTTCAACGAAATGGCAACAAATATAACCTCCAGCTCTAAATCAAAGCTGAAAAAGGATGCTAAAATATCGAAAGAACAACTCCAAGGTGTCACGGAGTTCTCTCTCCCTCTCACTTTAATATATTAGAATTTGAAAAGACTACAAGAAATTAGCCAATTCGTACGCTGTTTACGAACTTAAACTAAATGGGTTCCTTATTACACAAATAAGTCAAATCAGCAAATAGATAATTTCCAATAAAGCAACTGAAAACCAAAGATTTAATAAGTAGTTAAATGGCCTAGCACAAGTATCAATTCAGAGGTCACGAAATTGAATATCACTGGCCAATATGCAGGCTTTAACTGAACCTCTTGTAGGAAAGAAATACTGGGAAAATGTCCACATTCGAGGCAATTGGAAAGTACACTAATGATAGAGTCATGAAAATGAAGCATGACGAGGGGAGGGGTGAGAACGAACCTGAATTTTGGCATGGGGGACAATTGCCTCAAGAATGGCCTTTCGCACACCGACAGCGTTAACACCGATCTAAGGAAGGTAGAGAATGAAGGCGGACAATTAGCAAGGAAGAGATTAATTTAAATAAGTGGTTCCCATCCTTATAATGTAGAATTGAGTGGGTGTTTGATTATATACCTCTTGAAGTTATAGACAAAGACAGTGTTTACCACACCGAATACATAAATTAATTTAAGTACAAAAGTTCACTTCAGCGTTGCTATATTTAAGTCAACTATGGCCATTTGCAATACATTGATTAAAATAACAAAGCAAACTAATGGGCACACAATTTCAATTTGCATATGGCGCCAAAGTATCGGCATGCATTTGGATCGATTCAAAGTTTGTGGACAAGGCATAGGCAATTTAAGCATTCTGTCATGATGAATACAAGTGGCCCATCTTCCGTTAGCCAGCGTTATCGTTGCCTATTTCTATATTCATTCGTATGGGGATGCGCAATAGACTTACCTCCACGTTGTGCACCCAGGACAACGCATACTCATACGGCAAAGTCAATAAACCGGCAGTTGACTTCTCACTTCAAACTACCATGACCCCACCGTATGTCATATTTCATCACTTATACAGTACTCACCTCACCTTTTTCTCTACCTTTGTGTCCGTCTCTTCTACATCTGAAAAGCAATCTTCTTTCCCCCCCCCCCCCGCTCGACTTTTTGAGACTTTGGTGTTCCTCCCCTCTGTGTGAAGTCCGAAGTCAACTAAAGGGCTAATGATTGAAATCATAAAGCCCTGTCATTTGTGATATAAATAAATATTCAGGCGTATGGCTAGGTGTATCGAAATCAAATATAGGAGGCTGCGTTGTGCTATAAAATAGTTGCAATTTAAACGATCCCACATAATCCCATTTACGTATTACGGGATAGTATTCCGTCTCCGACACCACATAATGGTCGCTCGTAAAATAATTCGCACTTAGATGCTAATTATCCACTTGACTTTCAACTATTCTCTAAGGCGTTAAAAGACATTAAAGAAGGTCAAAGAATTAATCATGCATATTTGCCCTCAGTTTTATTTTGCCTAAATCTAAATTTCCATACTAATTCATTCCAATGGGCGATAATTATAATGAAATGAGCGACGCCGCTTAGTAAACTTAATTTTATTCTATCTATATGTGCACCTGCCAAAGTAGGAAAACATTATCTCTTCCTTTTTTTATTAGTTTGCAGCCCTTCTCTAGAAAAGTGACAGGTATGAGGGTCGCTTCGACGAAACAGAGCGGTTTATTTCATTTGATTATCTCCAAGCCGGTACGAGTATGGGACTTGGAAGTAGTGAAAGCATGAGAAATCCTAATATGCGACTCAAAACGACACGAGTTGGGTGGAACTTTAACTGCTATTTGTTTAAAACTCTTACATTCCATTATATTGTGCACTTTTTCCTTATTGAACTCCTATTCAACCGGGTGGCTGAGACAATATATATATATATATATATATATATATATATCTCGTTCGAATACAGAAGGGTAAAATAATAGAACAATTTTACTCAAAAGTAATTATTGCGAATAACAACATAGCGAAGTTTTAATGGTTCACAGTGAGTGTTGAGGGTGCTCACAATGAACATCGATACACACCTCAGCACGTCTTTTCTACCTTGGCCACATTGTACTTAATCCAGGTAAACACACCCACTTGATTTCGATTGTTAACTCAAGCAAGAACCTACTTCTACCACTCTCTCTCTCTCTCTCGGTCGTGCATCAAGAATGACGTCGGTTATTTTTCAAATGCCAAAATAGATGATTGCAAGAAGATTCCAGTGGGCTCTTTTACATACCCTGGCGCCCAGGCAACTGATAAAGATATAGTTGAGGATATCGCAAAAAAACTAAATATCATAAAGGAAAAACGAAAGTTGGTGACATTTGAATCATTTCTAAGAGGGGAAGTTTTATCAATTCCAAATCGACCCAAGATGTTGGCAAAACTAATCAGCGAGGAGGAAAAAAGGTTGAAGGATAAAAATTTACAAAGAATCCTATACCTTGAACACCAACTATAGCAGGAAGGTGTATGTTAAAAAGAAATCATATGCAGGTTCCCATTTTCATCGAATAATTATAAGTGAAGGCGAAGTGAGAAGGTACTAGCGGGTCTGCCACCACAAACCCTTCTGCGAGCGAACTGATAGGCTTCTTTGTCTCCTAGATGAGTGGTACAAGAATTATGTGATATGATTCCCAAATCATATGAAAACTCCGCATCCTTATAATCTCTACATAAAACAGGATAGCAAAAAGAAATGATGAATACAGTCGACCTGATAAATCTGACCTCGGATGAAGTACAATTCTCTTGGTTCCTTGTCTCCCACTTCTACTGTGGAATCCAAAATTTCCCATTAAGTAAAAATTTTAGTCCATTCTCCATCCTTTGGATAAATCCATCGATGGCAAAAAAACCTTTGGGGTTTAAAAAACAAACCGCATACCCTGATCAAATCCCCGTCAGTAAGTGCTGGAAGTTGATCCGGTGTAATGCGATGATATTCAAAATTGGGCAAGTAGTCCTCAGCTCCTGCAGTTGCAAGAACCTCGCGTATCTCAACAGATAGGAAGGATTCCTAAAGACAATCGAAACAGCAAGAAAAAAAAGGTATTAATATGCTTTCAAAATCGCCAGTAGAAAGACGTCAGAATGTGAATTTGCCATTAGCAATGACTTAAAAACGGTCATTCAAAACTCAACGAAAGTGAAATTCACTTCTTAATAATTGAGCGTGTGCATTTTAGGGCTAATGGTGTGCCTCAGTTTCTCGAAATTCAAAAATACGTAGATAATAACGAAACGGAATATGGGAAAAAATTGCATTAGGGAGGATAGAGTTGTAGTGAGCAAATAAGGATGAGCTTGATGGATTGGAGCAAAGCACAACACACGGAAAATTTCTGCTCTTCCTAAACTACTTTTGTGCCAAGAGATGAGACAGCGGATTAATTTAAGACACATTGTGTGTCCAGCAAACTTGAGTTGCTTAAATCTGTCTGTATATATTTTTTGTAACGACTGAAACTACTCCGGAACACCAAATATCAATAGGAATTGCCTATCAGTAGCATAAACAACATTAAAATAGAACCAAGAATCAAGGTATCAAGCCCTCTTCCTCAATACTAATACTATAAAGTAATGTGCGTATATGTATTCAATAGAATACTGCATTGTAGTCTTATTGATAAATGAGAAATAATAAGTAGCAAAAGTCTTAGATTCATTTTCATGAATGGCTTTACCTTTTCCCATACGAGAGAGTGAAGACATTGTCCTAAGTTGTTTCAAAGAAATGGATAACATATATAGCACGAATTATAAATCACTTGGAGCAAATTCTGTAAATCGAGAGGTCATTCACTCCGTTCAGTAACATTTAGGGGAAATAGGATTTCAGTGAACTCTCAATTTACCTACAACCCACTATGTATAAGCAGCTTATTTTGCTCGAATAAATCACGTAAAAGATACGAGAAATTTTAGCAATGATAATTGTACGATTAGGGGGGATGATTTAAACAAAAAATTGACACATGTCTCCGGACCCACTGCGCGGTACAGAAAGCCCGACCTGATCTAGGGCAGAGTTGGTGAAAGATTATTAAAGACGTGTATGCGCAGATCAATAATCAAGACCTTCAGGAAATATATATATTACCTGGGATCAGGAGTTTCAAAATGGAGTCCCGAGAGAGATTTAAGAAACTATCAGCAATGGCGGCTTAAGTATAATTTCAATATTGAATGTAATCAAATTTAATCTAAACTTTTAAATATACCATCAATAGAAATTGAGCTACTTCAATGAATCAATATTTTATAATATTGATATACAAGGGCTAAAAGGGAGCGGGGAGTCATCCTTGAACTAATATAACATTTTAAGTTAGGGTTAGGTCTCCAAAAAATGAAGATGTTGAAAAAAAGGTATAGTCCTACAGAAATAGGACTAGGATAATCGTTTTTCTCAAAGTAACTGCTCCGATGAGAAAAATCGTGAAAATTAATTAGTCAGGAAAAGGAGGAGGCAAGGAGAAAAGGGAGATAATGAGGAAATGGGCAATTAAATTGTTGTGCCTTACATCGCTTTCAACAGGACGATAGAAGCTAATTAGATGGAGGATAAATAAAAAAAAAGATATTAGTCCAATTTAATAAGTAACTTTGCCCCTCAAAGAACGCAATGTATTAAGCGTGCTTTGAGGTCAAATATAGCGACAAATACAAGTTGATATTGTATAGTAAGACGTATGATATGGAAAAGAAATTCGCCAATATGCAAACGACAATCAATGATTTTTATCCTTAATATAACCCTTGGTATGTATTGTGTCAAAGAATTAAAGGCAACTCCGAATTTCTCCAAACAGAGATACTCGTTTGGACAGGTAAGAAGACTCCAAGCAAGTTAAAAGTAAGGCACAGTTCCTCCCTACCTTTTACAAGATGTAATTTTATGCCTCCAAATGAAATACGAAATTTCTATCTTCAAACAATTGGTTTAGTGTACTTGAGACGACCGCGAATTTACTGCTGGAAAGTCGAATTCGCTTATTGTTCATACACCAGAATAGATAGGGAATTCTTTGCCCTTAGGGCATCAGATTATTAATTTTCCGTTGCCGTATCAATCTAGCACTCTGACCTTGAGCTGTATAATTAGCAATCACAAGGAGAGTCTACAAAATACTCACGAGAGAAGAGGATAAAATGAAAAAGTGATTCCCGTTCCTCGGAGTTAATTTTCAATGTAGAATTTAAGTGCCAAACTTTTTTAAACCTTTAAGTTAATACGGAAGACAGATTCCTAATTATTAAACATAAAAAAGGGCAGAAAATACAAGAGCCGAGATCGAGTCCCCCGCTCTAGGTTCGTTATGTTAAATAATAAGTAAGATAAGCGATCAAGGAAATACTTGGAATTATGGGATAGCAACTGGTTATCTTTACTATTTTGAAGGAAATTCTTCCACACAAGACGTCGACAAAGGTAGCTCAAGGCCACCGAGTCCACACACTGTCTGGCATTCGGAAATCTGAATAGATAATATAAACACGACAGTGATCGGTCCAGACAGTGAAATGAACTTACAACTTTAATCATATTCTCCCCCGTAGCTTTAGAAATAATGACAATAAAGTCTGTTAAATGGCTGTATTCATGCATTCTCTCTGGAACTAATTTAACTAAATTCAAAGGTACTTCCGAGCAGCAAGCGTGGGTGCTCAGTGCCGGTAGATTTACCCTGCAAAACTCTTCTTATCCTAATTTATCTATTTACTTGAGAGATAATGCAGTTATTAATAGATTTTTAAAATAAAAAATAGATTAAGGCACATTAATGAGATACCACCTTATTGAGAATTGCTGGTTTTCTATCAATGAGTCGTTGGTATTGCACAAGCCAGTAGTCTTCCTGGTCCCGAGTCTTCTGCTTCTCCATTTCCACCTAAAGAGGGAAAAGAAGGTGGGTCACCCAACCAATCCGCTTCTTTTCACTCGATAAAACCAATCTTGGAGCCACTTTGCTCGTGACAAAAAAAAACAATGTCATTTCATGCGAAAATGCGCTTGGATGCAAATGTTTCGACATTATGAAATAAAAATGCTGTTGTTTAGTGTTGTCATTCAAGGTGCTCTTAGAAAGGAGAGTATACTAAGACGCCAACTTTGTAGCTATTAATCTTAGCACAACATAACCTACCAAATATTTATTTCAAGTGGCAGGCTCGATGATAGTTATCATTAACACTTTAGTTGACTTCGGACTTCACGGGGAGGAAGAACATCAAAATGAGAAACAATCAATAGGGGAACAGAAGAGTGGTTCACAGATGTAAATGAGGCTAGCACAAAGGTAGAGAAAAAGGTAAGATGAGTACTGTGGAAGTGGTCGGATATGACATACAGTGGGGTCATGGTGGTTTGAAGTCAGAAGTCAACTGCCGGTTAATCGACTTTTGTTGCCGTATGAGTAGTATACGTTGCCCAGGGTGCACCACGTGGAGGTAAGTCTGTCGCACTCCCCACAATAGGAAGGAAATACACACACATTCAACCAATGGTGGAGCAAGCTTGATGCACGCATGTTTATTTCATTGAGTAACTATATAACTTTTAATGACCTTTTCAGAAAATTTTCATAGTTAATTCTACGAATCACTCAATTCTCTATGAGTTAAATAGAGTTGCTTCTTTGGTTCTACAACTTCGGACCAAACTGTGTAGATAAGATTTAGTTAGACTGACTTTAACAGACACCTACGTTGGACACTCTACGTCATTAACACTCGTTTGTCAATCATGGAAGCAGCTTGATTCGACTAGGCAAGCTTCAATTACTGATTAATGTATATACCCCTTCCCTCGGTTGAATCAAATCATGGCGTTGTGATCATACGCATACCACACACGCACACACACACACACACACGACTGGCAAAGCTGTGATTGGCCCATTAACATCACGTTCGCAACTCTTTGTTTCCATCTCTAACTATCACTCTCTGACAACGCTAGTGCAGTTCAACTATCTCTAGCCCCTTCTCTCTTAACTCTGTAAAAGGCCACAATAACCTGCTGAACCTGAAATGCCACCAAAAAATGATAAGAAAATACTACGTACTCATTGTTTAATAGTAAAGAAGGATTTAATGACGAAACCGAATTTTGGCAAGTACCTCTCGGACTTACAAGCCATATGCATTTCTGTGTGCTATATATTCATTTTAAGGCTATCTGTCTGGATGACTCCATCTCCCGAACATTGATCATTTATCGCCGCATAAAATTTAGATTATTTGTCTTTCTAACAATTTCAAACTACCTATCACTGTAAGGAATCACTTGTGTGAACATAAATGGAGTAAATCACTTGAGTAGGAGAACTGTACTCACCAAACGCCTATGCAACTCGGATTCGCGAAGCTCCTTCTGCTTCTGCAGCTCTGCTAGTAAGCGAACGAGGTCCTTTCGACGATCTGAGAAGTCAAAAGCTGATGCAGCTCCTTGAGTGATCTTGCGTTCTAGTTCTGCTTGGGTAAGCCTGCAGAGTTCCGCTTCGATCAAGCGAATGTCAACGACAATCTGTCGACGCCGAACATCATGCTCTTTTTGAAGACACTCGAATGCTTTCATCTGTTCAATTTCCTATTTGAATAGAAATAAGGTTATAATAGGGAAACTATAACACTGAGAACTCTGCTATATTAAAGCCCTCTTAATGTGTTTACTAGAAGATACAAGCTTTCCGAGATGACACGACTACTAACTCCATTTAATCAATTGATCAGCAAGCTCCTAGACATGAATTCTTTAAAGAATTCAGGAGTCAAATCTTGAAATTTGAATATGAAAAATGTTAGGCAAGATAGCAACTATTATCCCTGGCTTCCAATATTTCTTCCTACACATTCCACCTCTAGTAAGTCATATCGATAAAATCAATGCCGATTGAGTCTCACTTTCATTAATGCAAACGTGTTTATCATTGTGTGCATTGTGCTCTCGTTTGAGTTATCAGCCTCTGTGTTAAGCTGATATATTGGCGAGTTTTCTAGATTGATTAGACCTGCGGGATTGTTACTGGAACTCCTTTGTTAAATTATAATGGAAACATTTGGACACGATAGAGTGATGAACACTATGCTTCCCAGTAAGTACATTCATGCAGCCTACCGAAACCAGGACACAAATGAAATAAGCCTCCACTGATATCGTGACTATAATATCTAAGTTCACTCAAATCTCACCCCCTTTCACCCAAGATTTCCAATATTTAGACGCTTACCCACGACCAAATTTGCAAAGAGTTTTGTGTTGTCTTGGATAGTAATAACGGACAAGTATTTTATAAGTTAGAACGGTACCCTTTTGCTATCAGAGATTAAGATGAAATAAAGAACACAGTCAATTCAAGTCGAAACGTAAACAAGAATAACAGGTACTCATTTTTTTTCCTTAGAAAAGCTTACAATATCGCCTTCTGGGCTGTAAAGTCCAATATAAAGATATCTTCAAAAAGATAAACATCTTCCCCAAACCGATATAATTAGTTTTTTTTGTCTTTACAATTATTTCAGCAGTTAATAGAAGGAGATGCTTTAGAAAAGATTCTAAGCTGGACCCAAGGCATCGCATACCCCCCCCCCCCATTTAATTCATTAGGCACATGGTCAACAGAACGTGCATTTGAGAAGCAAAGCAGTTTGATTGCCTGCAATAAGAAATAATAGTACAGCTTCGAAGTGTTGGACACAAAGCACCAAAAGGGAGATGATTAGGAACGGGCAACGATTTTGGGATAATAAAAACGATTACTATTACATTAATTAAATTAGAGAAAGTGGCTAAAATCGGAAAAAAGACTCATTTCATGTGAAAAGTGGCTAAAACTATTTACCTCAACGGCGACCTGGGCAGCGAGTTTGGCTTGATTAGCCTGGTGACTAACAAGGACGCTTTGAATAGTTGGATTGGCGTCACCTTGGTTGGAATTTGTCATGGCAATATTCTTTATAAAATCACGATGATGAGTAAGTGCTGTCTCAGAGGCCACAAGCATGTTATTCATCGATTCTTAAATCCCCCCAAAAAATTTATATTAATAAGAGACTGCAGATTTGAGTAGATAAGTATGCATGAAAAAAAACATTAGAACATACCGAGAATCCTTCGCCTATTCTCATCCGTAAGAGTGAAATAAGGAAGACTATCAAGAGAAGGCGGGTCCGTATCCTCCAATTTAATTTGTTGCCTCTTTTGCAAGAGCTTTATCAAATCGTCTGCATGATCAAGGGTATCACGAAGGCTATTCACGAGTTCTTTTCTCTTTGCATCTCGATGCCTTTGCAGAAGTTGCAACTCACTTTTGATAGCATCTTCCTCCTAGTTAATAAGAAATTTAAAAACGAAATGAAAAATCTCTATAAAATAAAAAGAAGAACAATGATTAGGTGATAAAAAAGAATAGCATAGGCACGAACATTAAAAGATCATTTTCTATACATTGTTATATTTGATCTGAAATACGAACCGACCCTACCTGAGCGAGCTTTTTCATTGAAGAAATCCGTGTTTCAGCAACGCGTTTGGCTAATTCAGCGTGTGCATTTAGCTCTTCTTCCACTTTTCGATGGAGATCACTGCGTCGATTGAAACCAAAATCACCAAAACCCGAATCCTCAGTTGCACTAGAAGAGGCCTTGAAGAAAAATGATACAAATAATGTATGACTCGGTTTAATAATAAAAATTAAATCAGAGTAAAGGTAATTTTTACGTAAAAAAGTTTTTTTTTAAATTTTAGCCTTTCACCTAACCGTATGCCTACATTTACAGATAATAAATCCTCAAGCACTGTGAAAAACCTGTGTTCCAATATTCATCTCATTTGAAGATCTTTTTATTAAGAAGGGGTGGAGGTTGCCACGTCATAAACTGACAATGGTCTGATAGATTTTGCCACCATCAACAAACCATGTACGTTAAACAATACATACACTTAACCCCGCAAATATCACTGGTATTAGAGGTTGATTTAATGGTAAAATCCATGTAAATATTACTAACACTGCGTGCTATAAAATTATACGATTTATCGTTTCAATAAGTATAAAAGCATGAAAAAAAAAAGAAGAAGATAGACACTCACATCATAAGTCTGTTGTGTTGAGACTTTTGCTTCAGCAGGTTCAAATTCGTCATCTGAGATTTTTCCAGCTAGTTGAGTACAAAAATGCATTATTAAAATAGTTAAAGAGCAAATATCAAAAAATAAGAAAATACATTTTCGGAGGTATGAAATGATTGTCGGAAGTCCGGCTTCGCAGACATCTTGTGGAGGGAATGTAAGGGAGGCTGAAGGAAGATTGAGCTGCTTTAAATTAACAAGGCGACCCATTTCGACGGGCAAACATCTCAGTGGATTTCCGATCAAGTCAAGGTCTTCCAGGAACCTAAGATCACCAAAATTGGCAGGAAGATTTCGAATTTGATTGTCTGTAAAAGGAGTAGTCTTACATATAATTGAAAGAGAGTGAGAATAATAATATACAGAAGATCTCTTACCTCTAAGGTTGAACTTGCGAAGAGAGCGCAGTAGGGCTATTTGATCTGGAACAGTCTTAATTTCATTATGACTAAGATCTAATATCTTGAGATATATGAAACAATACCAAAATCGGAATTACTTGAAGGAGTGTCATAGAAAAAATTTCCGGTGGAAATTGGCTGAACTTATTTGAATGCAGATCCAAATGTGTAACGTGAGACAAATTCGTCACTTTATCCGCATTACAAATACTTTGGAGGAAATTGGTGTGGATTTTTAGAATAGTTTTGTTAAAATATTTTACTTGGGCCTCAAAACCTTTAGGAAGCTTCAGAGAGTAAGGTTATTGGTAAATAATACCTGCTTTAGCTCACAATCTGACAGGTCATACACTGGATCTCTTGATTCTTGAGCCTTAAGAGATGATAAAATAATAAACACATAAACGTAATAGAAGCAACTATTCACTAAAATGTTTCTGGGCAATATAAGTGAGCGACAGAGACACACAAATCATTAAAATGTTCTAAACTATACGAGATTCGAGAGATTAACCATGAAAACCCACTTCTACTTACTATATGTAACTTTAATTCCACCTTTTTGGAAGGTTTAGAGTTTTTTCTTGAAAATATTGGCATTTATGTGTTACATGTGGGTTCAGTTGTAATAATATAGGCTGAAGACATACACATCATACTCATTTATTATCAGTAAGTGTCAATAATGTATTACAAAAAATTGCAGATTTAAAACTTTAATTAATTTAAAAGAATTCGTCATCATTTCTACTAATTAATTTCTAATAATTAATTAAATCCTTTACGAGTGATAAAATACTCTCATAGGAGACTGGAGCAGCATTTTTATTGCTCAGAGTAATAATATAAATTTTAGACAGACAAAGAAACTATAGTGAGAACTATAAGTTGCTAATATTCTTACGGACTCTAAATTAGCACATTCAAATTTGTATCGACTTTTGCCAAACCTAGCCAATGCTTTTATATCAGCAGTTCCTGGACATTTTTACGAAGAAACTAATTCAAATCAATGAATAAATTTTCTGGTAGTCAGGAGCATGGAGAAGACAAAGAAGAAGAAAAGTCAATAAAAATAGAATTAAAAAATGGTAAAGATTTCTAAATCGTGTATTGCTGATACTCCTACTTTATTTGTACATGAAAATTGCTTTAAATCTGATATGGAAAGATATTTAAGCATTAATGGTTGAAATGAAAGTACTTATGAATTGCTCTTCCTCTTTTTATGTCGATGCAGACTAGCAGTACATTATAACAGTGTAATTTGTCAACATCTGCATAAATTTGCTTTTTACAGTGCTTAATGAGTTATGAGGCAAGGCGACATGAAGGTACATACAGTTTCCTTTGTATTGTATTAATTATTTTTATATCTATTTGAAAGTAAAACGATTAGCAAATATTTAGAGGTTAATTAATACATAAATAAGTTTTCCATTTAGCATACGCGAGAGCCAAAATATGTAATTTAAAAATTTTCATTTTTATGTTCCAGTTTTTGGGTTTTTTGGGTATTTCAGATTTAAAAACGTTAGAAACGGAGACACCTTCCCTTCAGGAATTTTTCAGGTCTGAAAAACAAAGTAGGAATCTACAACGAAAGTCAACGCGGACTTAATTTTATGATAGTTTTCAATTTCAATTTGAGTGGAACGTCGAATACTGGAAAATCAGTGGGAAATACTAAACACAAGAAGAGCCAAGGACAAACTAGTTTATTAAAAATTTTGCCGTTATCTGGCTTCTTCTGATTAGCATGGTAATCTTTGTGCTTTAAGATAGAAATAAAATTAATAGCCAATTTGACTAAAATATTTTAAATTAAATAGCACAATAATGCATAAAGATGTAGATATTTAGTCAAAGTCGATGACACAAATACAAATTATCTTTTCATTTTAGAGTGATCATTGAATATTACTAATTAACGAAATTTATATGATAATTTTAATGATATTTTTTGAAGGAAAAATAAAGATACGTATTAGATTTTATAAATTTTAAATTGCTTTATTGTCATCATTAATACTTTTTTGTAACTAATATCACAACTTTTAAAATTATTTTATTTGTTTTTGTCGCTTTCTCGAGGCCGTGTGTTTTTAAATTCCCCGTATAGCGAATGAGCATACTTCGGTAATCAAACATGTCAAATTCTGTGCAAGGCAAACTAACTGGTACTGTTATTGGAAAATATAAATTGTCTACGCAGATTGGAAGCGGTTCCTTTGGTACCATTTATTTAGGACGTAATACAAAAACAGATGAGGTTCTTTATTTTTATTTTTTGTAACGAATATTTAGGAGGTAGCAATCAAAGTCGAAAGTAGTCAAATTAAGCACCCGCAACTATTTTTTGAAGCAAAGTTGTACAAGATTCTAAGTGGTGGTGATGGGATTCCTCGTGTAAGGTATGCCTAATAACCCGAACTAATCCTTTGCCTAGATATTTTGAGCGTACTAGCGAATACAGCTATCTTGTAATGGATTTACTCGGACCTAGCCTTCAGGATTTGTATATGTATTGTTCAAAGCACTTCTCACTTAAAACAGTCCTTATGTTGGCTTTTCAAATGATTTTTCGTATTGAGTGCATTCATTCTCGAAGTTTCCTCCACAGAGATATTAAACCCGACAATTTTTTGATGGGTGTCGGACGAAATACTTACAAAGTTTATATGGTTGATTTTGGTCTTGCAAAAAAATACCAATGTCCAAGAACTAAAGAGCATATTCCTTATAGGCAAGTACATTTATTTTTTATCGTGATTTGATTTTCAGAGATGGCAAAAACCTCACAGGAACAGCGCGTTACGCAAGTGTAAATACGCATATAGGAATTGAACAATCTCGTAGGGATGATCTCGAAGCTCTAGGATATGTTCTCATGTATTTCCTACGAGGTGGCCTACCATGGGAAGGTTTAAGGGTGAGTAAAGTTTTTACCCACTTCAATTAACATAATCCCAAAGCGTGGTATTACTGCCGTGCCTATTCTCTCTCTAAATGGGCTAAAATCTCATTTCTGTTTTAGGCCAATACTAAGCGACAAAAATACGAGAAGATTAAGGAAAAGAAGATTGCCACACCGCCGGACTTACTTTGTAAGGGATTTCCAGATGAATTTGCCGTCTACCTCAATTATTGCCAAAATCTTGGTTTTGATGAAACCCCGGATTATACCTATTTGCGTCAACTCTTCCTGAATTTATTCGCCGAAAGGAAATTTGCAATGGATTATGTTTACGACTGGTCGCGTAGGACAATTAGTTCATTTTAAAACCTATCCTCTCTTCTGTTGTCTTTTTTTTGTTGATTTTACAATTGTCTCCGTTTGTTTCAGATGGTACCCTTCTCACTACCGCTGTATGAACTTTCGTATTCTCCTTGTTATTTCTTTCTAAGCACTCTTTGCTCCTCCTCCACTTCTTAGAGTTATTTTTCTATATTCGGTCTTCCTATTGTATGCCTTTCAATGTTTTTTTTTAATGGACGCTATTTTGTATGAATTTGGTGGTCAACATGTATTTTTCTTCTAGACTCGAACGTTAGTTCACTGGAAGCGGCTTTATTGTCGTCACAGGGACGTGGGTACGTTTTTCTGTCTCTAAAGTACACAAGAGAAAAGAGTATGTAAGACGGTGATCCTGGTCACTTGAGCCGTTGCTGCTCACATAACTGTCATCACATTTTCATGAGTTTTCGTATTCTTGTCTAATATGATTGTGATTAGGGTGCTAACCGACAGAAGTGTATCATCTCTTGCTTTGATCTTCCATTGATTTTCATTTACTCAATGTGAACAGGCCTCGAGGCTGTATATTATTTTTAACACCTCGGTATTTTTTTGCAACTACTCTGCCTCTTTTGTCTCATGCGGTCATCTCCGAACTGCATTACTGAAGTTCTATTGTTGCTCCTGGTTGTTAATTTCTGATTTTACATGTAACTCCGGCGACATTCCATCAACCGCCTAGTGGCTCGGTTATGTGAGAGCTTCTCTCTTTCCTGCAATTATTAGTTTAATCGGATAAAGTGGGACATCTTACACCCACGGTTTTATTGTTAGGGGAAGTTTCTTATCTTTTCGATTCTTGCCATAAGCAGCCTTGGATTAGTCATTCGAACGTGATCAGTCTTTATAACGGTTAGAGGAAATCTTCGACTAGATATGGCTCACTGTACTATGAATTAATATTATAGATATTGGAGCATCATGATTGTGGCTTCCCCAAGTTATAAACTGCTATTTTGGTTGTATATCTGTTGCTTTTCTTCAAAATATTTCCTTTTCCTAGTAAAAATTTTAAGTTCCTTGTTGGAAGCCCTCATATGTTCACATGCCATAAAACTTACTCTTGAATGGAAAATCGAGAGCTGGCCATATCATCCCTAATAATGGGAAAAGAAGAAACCTGAATATATGTAGCTCGCATCAGTGATTGAGAACGCGGAGGTTAATAAACTTCGATGGAGCAATAAAATGAAAAGAAACCCCGATCAATATGAGGTCAACCAAGGTTAACCAACATCTGGTATAATTGTGCAGTTTTTTGGAGAAAGGCACATTGGATTAAATGCAGAGGAATTAGGCTAAGGAATCATTTACTTCAGATTAAGAAGAAGCTAATTCAGATGAGGGAATGAGGAAAGACACGTCGACCATGGGAATCAAGTTACAAAAAATACTCCTGTTTTCATTGGAATGATCAATTTGTATAACTGCCAATAACTACCGGGGTTTTCCGAAAATACGTTGTCATATATATTTTTTCAAATGGCAGGCATTTCGATAGTTTCTTTACCCCTTTAGGTGACTTCGGGCCTCACAGAGGTGAAGAAATATCAAAGTGAAAAAAATTCTGGAGGGGGGGGGGGAACAGAAGAGTGTTTCAAGGATGTAAGAGAGACACAAAGGTAAAAAAAAGGTGAGGTGAGAAATGTGGAAGTAGTCGAATATGACACAGTGGGGTGATGGTAGTTAGAAGGCAGAAGTCAACTGCCGGTTTATAGACTTGCCGAATGAGTATACGTTGCCCAGGGAGCACCACGTGGAGGTAAGTCTATCGCGCGCACACGCACACACCAACCATGCCCGCGCAACCGCCGACAACACCAAAGGCGTCACCAGCCACAGAACTCACTCACACCGCAAATACCTCTGGGCGCGCCTCCAAATGCGACTCAGGGACGCCCCGGTCAATAGCCCACAAGACACACAGCTAACTGCACCCACCAACCTCCGCCATCACCGAGGCCAAAAGCACACACACACTTGGCAGCGGTGGGATTCGAACCCACGCCCTATATATATATATATATGTGCATGCTTCCGTGCGCATCTAACCCGCGAGTATTGTTCCTTCGGAATGACTCTCTCGTATTGGGAGAGTCAAGCGTCAGTTCCAAAGAGGGTACAGCTGCAAGACTTCTTTTTTTAC